GTTAATATACTTAGTTCTGTTTAATATTAGAGGGAATGTTGCAGTTTTCAGATATAATTGCTATACCATAAATCTGTAATATATGCTAAATCAATTTCCTTTACCAATCTTGCCATTGACCGGCCATCTTCAAATGTAGTTCGAATACTTTGGTGAGCGACTGTAAATGATTTCGATGACTATCATTGGGTTAACGATGAGCTTAATTTATCGGCCTGAGCTGTGCTTCAGAGAAAGTCTGAATAATGATTTAACGGGGCATTGCTACACATATGTATACATCTACATACGTATTCGTTTTACATTTTACACTACCACGCTATATTATGTGCGATCATTTTTACCATGTAAGAGGGAAACAAAGTGATTTGTACAAAAAGAGAGGAAACAAGCGAGAATGTTTACATTGCGAGCTCTCGCGTTTACCGAGGATGAGTTCTACGTAAATGTAATTTTACAAAGTGTTAGGAAATTTTGTTACCAACAACTGCGTCTTTGTCGAATTTATTCAAATAAATTCCGATGAAAGTCAGATTTTATATATTATTCTGTAGTATATAGTTGCTGGAAACTCGTATTAGCGTTTAAGAGCGAAAGTAGACTACACGTACATACATTACATACATACATACGTATAGATTAGACTGCGGATTTTCATGCAAAATAAAATGAATGCAACAATTAAGGGAAAAAAAATAAATTACAGATTTTATTTCATTTTCAAAATTTCGTATATTCTTTTACTGTTGATGTACATTGTACTATACAAGATTCTGATATTACAAGTGAATACAAGGTGAGGCACGTAACTGGAACCGATTTCATCTAAAGTTAAATAACTTTTAAGAAAAAAGGGAAGAATTCTCGAATGTACTCCTCATATACGTCACTTATTTCTTTCCAGTATTTTCAAATCTCCAAAATTGCAGATATTAAGTATAATACAAATATAACTTCATGTATGATAGCATACATAAATTTTAAGTTTAGCTATTTTTTTCTATTTGAATTTGTTATGGAAAAATCTGAAAAAATTCCCAAACATACTCGTCGTATTATAGTATATCATCTATTTTT